TATATATATATACATACATACATACACACACACATACAGTTTATACACACAGTATACACACACACACTAGATCTCAGCATTTAATCCCCCCATCCCGGGCTGTATATAGTTACTTTTCCTTCACTCCCTTGCTGTGTTCATCGGTGGTACTACCAGGTATGGAGGAGCCTGTCACCTGTTACATGTGACACCTCGAAAAGACCAAATAGCACTGTCACAGGGGAGTCCATAGCCCTGGGTGATCTTCCCCAGCAATTTGTGGCTTTCTATTTGCTCTGCAGCTGAACAGATCAGCAGGGGAGCTAAAGTAAAGTAAGTATAATATATTAGTACTATTAAAAAACCTCTTGCTTTCCGCTGCATAAGCATAGCATATTTTTCCACTGTAAACGTTTATCCACGCTCATAATAAACAGCATTTTTGACACATGCAATCCCATTGTGGCTGCATAATAAAATGCAATACAGATTTGAGAATAGAAGAAGTAGGAAGTTCCAATTTATGTGATCAGGAACATATATATTCCAGAAAGCCCACCAGAGCAATTATTGAAGGAGTCTATGGCACTGACTGTGTACACAGAAACAATAGCAAGCAACAGTACCCTATTCAGAGATAATTAGATGCATTCAGATTTGCTGCTCCACTGCAGGACATCGAACTTGCCACAGAGCAGCCACGTGGCCAACTAAGTCAGGGGGTCCAATTATTACAGTTGGATGGAAACTGGACTAAATTACTAATTATTTTCCAAAGTGATTCAGACACTCCGTTTTGCATAAAAGATTGTGATTAATAATAATTATTTTCATGGAAGATTTTCTTCCTATTCTTACAGATATATTTGTAAACAAATCCTTTCCTTTTCTAAAAATATGGACCTCACAAAGATATCAGAGTATGACCCATCTATTAAGCTTGCAATCCCTCCATCTTTGGAGCATATAGACTGGAACAAAGCTTTTCTTAGAGCAGAAGAGAAGGCCAGGAATATACGGGAGCAGCTGCCTAGAGGGCCCAATTACTTGATGAGAAGTGAAGCAAAAAGGTTGAGAAGTTTCCTTGGTCTATATCAGCCTTTGTCATCTTGGAGCCCCAAAGAGCTGGCCTCTGCTGGATTCTTCTGTACTGAATTGGAAAGCAGTGTTCAGTGCTTCTGCTGTGGGCTAGTCCTCTGCAAAACGTCTTTGACTTACACTCCCATAGAGAGGCATAGACATTTCAATCCCAACTGTGAATTTGTTATAGGAGCTGATACTGGGAATATTTTTAAGTACGAAGTTCATCCAAAGCCAGTAAAAAGTGCACAGATGGATTGCAAGGAATCAATGAAAGATGAACAGGCCAGGCTACAATCTTTTTCCTGTTGGCCACCCTATGCCTTAATAGAGCCTTCTATCCTGGCACAGGCTGGATTCATCTTCACAGGTATTTTATTTTTCATTAACGTCTAAAAATATTTTTTTAAACATTGTTATAGGAAAAGATCAGTCAAATCAACAGCACTTGAAAAAATGTAAAAAATTAACTCCAGACAAACAGATACATATTCAGATAAAATACATGTATGGTGACAGGAGACCTGCTTTTCTCTTCTGAAGTTAAAGAGGAACTTCACCCTGAAATAAGTTCCATCCTGCCACCACTTTTCTGCGCCACCATTGTCACTCTCCCCGTCCTTCTATCAGCACATCCCTTGTCAGCAATTAAACACTGCAGCAAAACTGACTGGCTCTTTGTGCTGCTTCTTCCTCTTCCATTCTGAGCTCTACCCTACAGTAAGCAGAATAAGGCTTATACCAGGTCAATCTCAGGTACATTGCATTTAAAAGAATGTAATTATGTATTAGTGAATGCACAGCTGCATAAACATGTGTCTTTTTTATTATGTATAATCAAATAATACAACTATGTATTACAAGGGAGTGTCTCATACAAATTAAATGGATAGTTTAGGTAGGACCTCGCAATACATTTCTGTAGTTTTAGTAAATCTAAAGTTGTACAATCAGATTGTATTTCATGTGGCCAGGTAAAGATTTAGGACGTCCAAAATCTTTAATTAAAACACAAAGATGACATATCCTTTAGAATACAATTTTTCATGCTGTTGCTTATC